TCGTTATCGATTTGGCCGACCCGTTGGCCCGTATGACCGCTCACATGACTCAAACAGATACGTCCTCCATGACCAACGTTTCCCGTGGCTCGGAAACCGAGAAGGGCACACTGAAGAAGGACGTTTCAACCGATACGGAATCTCCGGTCTACCTCATATCGGGACAGGACCGATACCAAGACATGAACGACCCGGATCGCCGTCGGTTCGTGGATTCTAACGATCGGGATGAACCGGACCGGAGGAGCTATCGGAAATCCGAATCCAGACGGCAGAGTTACCTTGAAAGCATCGGTGAAGGGCTTGGATACAGCACAGAATCAATCGTGGAACGCAAAGTACTTCCCTCGGTGCAAACTCCAGTGTTTTCCCATGTGCGAGCACCGGAAGAGAGTCGTCGGATAGCTGGTAAGGAGATCCAATACTTACCTCGGTACGAATACCGTGATCGACGAGACTTTCGTGATGCCGGGTCGCACTCCGGTCGCCAACAGTCGCCGAAAGCACCTTCCTATCATGACAACGAATCGTTTCTAGAAGAAATTTCCCCTTCTCGAAGAAGCACTTACGTTCCGGCGGATAAATTCGACACAGATGTGGTACAAATGAAACCTCGCCCACGGCCACCGCCTCCAGCGAAACCAATTAGTTCACCGACGCAGCACGGATCCGGATCGGGATCCAGTTGTAGTGGGTGTAACTGCTCGCAGAGAAGCTTACCGGGCAAGCGGATCGGACAAGGCAGCGATGAACCGGACATTCCCATTAAGCCCGGATACGTGGCGAATGCTGCCAAGAAGTGGGACGACCGACTGCGAAGTAAAAGTCAGCCCATTATTGGATTGAATACCATGGTTTAGAATAGGCCTTTTCAATGGTAGTTTATAGATTTTCTGAATAAAATATTTTTTCCACAAACAATTTTTCAGAATTAGAAAAGAAGGCCAACACAGGAAGGAATCCGGTTCGGTAGAAACAACTTTATTGATTTATCTGGTTTGCTTTGTGACAAAGGTGTTAGTTATCTGGTGCACGTGGATTACCTATACAAGTTGGCTAGTTTTAGGTTGCAGTAAATTAGCGCTTATTCATCGATGGGTGTTTATGTTGCTTGTGGGCGCGCAATGATGGGGCAGCGTGGCGCTAAAAACACATACGGTAACGAACGGCCAGGGCCAGGTGATTGGCACTAAATATGGTTTATGCAGGATGAGCTGGACTATTTGGTGCTGGGTGGAGGGTGTTAGGAGGGATCGAAACGAAACGGCTAGCATGGTCCACAGGCAGCATAGGGTGGACACAAGTCTCCGCATGGCGGTGGAATGCTGGGCGTGCAGGGATCGTCTGGAACGGGTTGAAAGAGAAGCTGTGTTAGATATGCGTCTGCTCGGGTTTCAGTGTACCTATTCGAAGTGACAAGTTTTCACCGTGAATTGACATCCGTAATAAGCCCCTGGGGTCAGTTCACGATGAAAACTAAAGTGATCACCGTGTAGTGACACCCGTTATTTAGCCACCTGTTTCCCTTTTAAATCACATAGGGCAGGACTGCTACATGCCAAAACTGGAGCAATCTTTAATTAGTGCCATAACTGGTGCACTGCCGCTGGAAGCATAATTGTCCCATATGTAAATGAAACTTCATAGCACATGGGACAATTATGCGTCTACCGGCAGTGCACTTCCCCTACCTAAATTGGAAATGTTTTAAACTAGAGGGAGTCTAGTATAAGGTCGCTGCCATGCTGACGCGGAACGCGAAGCGAAGCGTCGAACGAATCTTGAAATCGAACGTAAGAAATAATCAAATAATAAAAATTCCTTTGCACGCGCCACGCAACGTTTCGCTTTCCGCATCAGCATGGCAGCGGCCTAAGAGAGGAGCGGCAACCTATGCCGTATTTTCTTTTAAATTTAGTTTTAGCAACACTGCCAATGCAATCAAGATAGGCACTCCTCGATTGGCTCAAAACCCGTCAGTCCGCTCCTCCCCTAACCTAGACTCTCTATACTAGAAGCAGAAATCAAAAGACTAGAGCAAAAAAATCTACTCACAGCATGGCATGCAGTTTGGTGTCGGTGCTCCGCATGGTCCACAGTCGCCTTGAGGTACATAGGCGCACGGATCACAAATCGGGGGGCAGCTAGGATCGCACACAGGACCGCAGTAGGGATCACAGACCGGACCGCAAGGTCCGCATGGGCCACAAGGCCCACAGGGTGGTGGACACGAGAAGCAATCGATTCCGCACGGGTTACATCCGCTTCCAACGGTCGACACACGGCAACGCTTCGGACAGACGGGATTGCTCTTGTTGCCCATGGTGACATTGCGGAAGCGGCGAGCGTACGTCGACGGACAACAGGTGGCTTCCGGTTTGGTGAGGCAGCATGACTTTCCCTGGTGGAGAGGAATAATCATTTTAGATTGAGTTTAAAGCAAGGATCAAAAAGAGGCAATCCTACCTGACACTCCGAACGAGGACAATCGTGCTGGAGACCGTTCCGTTTTAGACATTCACAGTTGGCAATGAGGAGTCCTCCCCGTAGCTCACGACTCTTGCAACCCCGAGCGGGGACCTGTGAGAAGTTAAAAATAAAAACAAAAGTTGCGATTAGAAATCAAAGAATTTGATGGGGATTTAGGAGGAAAGGCAAGGTACAAGGGTGGAATGGTGTCATCAGAAGAAGGTGAGTGAGAGCAACCACCATGTACGCCCACCTTTGTACACTTACCTTTGCTCACGCTGTTCCCTAGTGTTGGCACCTAGCATCGCCTGGGCCGACAGACCGGGTCGCACGGGGAGCAGGCCGGTGACTTGGTGAATCCGGTGCCCGCCGGTATGCAGCAATACTGCGGTGGTGGTGGAATTTGCACGGTTTGCGGCTTTGGTTGGCACACCATGGTAGTGCAGATCTCCTTGGGTTCCACGATGGTCCGTGGTGTACAGACGATCTTCGGATCCGGAACGATACGTTTGTAGTAGATGATCTTGGGATCGGGGACGACCCGCTTCCGGTAGATGATGCACGGTTCGACGTAGCAACGTGGCTGGTAGATGATCTTAGGTTCCACTATAGTTTTGGTGCGAGGGACGACATGCTTATCCACGACGGTACGGCAGCAGTTGATCATCTTTCGCTGGGCTACAACCCGCGGAGGTTGCTGGACAGTGATGAACCGTGGACCACATTGTGCCGGAGGACAGATAGAGGGGCACTGAGGCATGCAGTTCAAATCATGAGCTGCGTAGGTCTTTGGGACGCACGGATCGCAGATGCTACCCGGAGCGCACGGAGCAGGACAGGGACCCTTGGGTAGGATAGAGGAGGATTGGTTGGTTGTGCAATGATATTGATGAAGCTGATTAGTGTACGTTCCCCGTTCCCCGAACTCCTGTGCTGAGACGTACCTAGTAGATTCGTCTTCCTTGGCAGTACATTTCTTCGTAACGGATGTCCGGGATCTGCGGTTCCTTGCGGCGTAAATTCCAGCTGTTGTGTACCGTGTCGGTACTATCGAAGACAATCAACGGGCGCTTCCACCAGCACAGATAGGACGGGGAACGGGGCGACTAACAACGACAAAATTGTTATTTTCGAGGGTGCAGAACCAAAGAACTTGTAACGCGTGATAGGACATCTAGAACTTGTCTCGTGGAACAAGGTTTTACCATAAATAATCATCTTGTTATATCATCCATCTTGGTTAAACCAATTAATCTCTTTAAATTTGGAAAATCAATAAGGTCGAATGATTCAACAAACACAACAATGTCTATTATAGATAACAATCACCAACTTCGGGGGTTCGAAACTTGGTTCCAGAACCAATCCCAGAAGGCAGGTGCTACTTTATGCATCACAGTTTTGAGCTTTTTTGAGAGGGTTCAGTTGATTTAAATATCCTTGTTCCGCTTCTACATTTCTCACGTAAGGTAGGAGTTCCAAAACTAAGTATCCACTAAGCTAAGTACATTACCTAAATTTCTCTCTGGTTTAGCCACCGCTTTGAAGGGCTAATAATGTGCCTAAACGGCAAAGCGTAGTAACCTAATTTTCACATCGACTCCCCCACTACATTCAGCAAGCGCGCAAATCGGTGATGAGAAGGATGATCGTAGGTGTTGGCTGGTTCAGGGGGGCAGGTAACGATTTTACTGCCGAATCACAACCTCGTGTGATGGGTAAAATGTTGTACACCCCCCTTCCCGGTGCCGAGTCGTTTCACTCAAACTCATGGAAAATCAAAACGGTATGAGAAACGACATTGAGCCAAATACTAACACTATTTCAATCGCAATCGCAAAATAGTATCGATTTGCAATTCTCTTCCGAAAAAATAACTTAACGATCCCGCCTCCCCTGAGCCGATTCCCTTCCGGTAGGTTTTTGAGGGTGAGGGAGTGCGGTGTGTTTGAACTGATTGATTTATGGGTGCTTCCGGAAGGGCTGCCAGGGAGGGCGTTTTTTATAAAAACTTCTGAATGAATCCCCGATCCACTTCGGACCAGGGATAGGTCAGTAACCTGCGCAAAAAAAAAGACCTAATAGTGATGACGTAAGCACAAATAACAGAAACGATAGCGATGCTTGGTGCAACAGGATGGGGTACAGTGGTCGCACTTGTGACTGTGACTATGACTGTAACAAGAGGAACAGTGACATCTTACGCAAGGATAACAGGGATAGCAGGGATCGCACGGGGAGCAGCACGGGTCGCACATTTTCGTAGATGGAAGTTTCTTCGATTTGATGCGAGAATTCTGGAAGGATCCACAGAAAAAAAAATTGCTGTAGAAAATCCGCTTCGCAATCCTGAAGGTTCTTCCATCCAGTAGGTACTTACCAAATTAATCGATTTCCCAACCGCACAAAGATGGCCTTCAAATCTTCTTTGTTCGGCTTCAGCAGCTACTGCACCGTAAATCCTTGAGGTATCCAACGGAACTTCTGCTTCTAATCCAAGGTTTCTTCAATAAAAGTTGCTTCAAGAGGACTCCGAACGACTATTTTGTAAAATATTTCTCCAAATTATATGTTTTTTTTTTAATCACTTTGAATTTTGTCTTCCACGGTCCGTTCGCTTCGAGTTTCAAACTGAGAATGATTTCCTGGAGCGAGGAATTTTTTTACCTGACTCTGGAAAACTGTTATTTTTCGTCACCATGGGTACCACGTGTGCGGACGAGGAGATCTTCGACCGAATCCCAGCCAGGCGGGGAAGCGTGGTTTGATTTTTCGCGCGCGTCGCGTTAATTCGCGTTGATGCGTTTGCCATTTGTGGTTCACGATGTGAGGGCGAGATGGCGTTACGAGTCAGTTGCAGGTAAGCGTTTGCTGTGTCCGCGCGGACTCGTTTCCAATCCGAATGGAACGTGTCCACGATATGTGGGGTGCGTGAAGCATACAGTCCGGCGGGTTTGAGAGCACACTGAATATTAAACTACTCAGAGGGTGAGTCACTTTTACTCATTCGGAATAAGACATGTCTAAAAGAACACACGGCAAATGAAACCAAATCATATTTGAGCTTCGTTCGCTCAAATGCGCAAGAACGTTCGAACAAGTTAAATTGCCCGAGATTTTCCAAGTAAAACTTCTCGAATATGAAGATAATCGACTAAAATTTTACTCAGCCTAGGAGTATACTAAAAGACTCTAAATTTTCGGCATATTCGAGAAGTGACAAACGTTTTTTGCGAATTTGAGTGAATGATGCTCAAAAATGATTCATTTACCGTGTAGACCTCTTAGTGCGTGGAAGTCTACACGGTAAGGAAAAAGTCCCCAAAAGTAAGTTCTTTTCACTCATCTCGGCACTATAGTGCAGGAACCCAAAAGTAGGTAAAGCGGGTCAAAGTAGTTTACTTGTGTGCAAATGGTATGTAATTTTCCACTTGTATTCTACCCAAAAGTAAGTTAGTTGCACCCAAAAGTAGGTAAATATGATTATACTTAACGTTGGGTTCCCACACGCTACCACCCCTGTTAGGTGGTTTTGTTCCTTCGTTTCTGACAACATAAGAAGGAGAAAAGGAGACAAACTAGTCAAAAGTACACACTTAGTTTTTTTTTCTACCGAGCTCGGCTGTGCAAATCTCGGCAAAAATAAGTTTCACTGAGATCTCAGGAAAAGTGACATTTGATTGCTGAGTCGCGGATAATGCTTAGCTGAATCTCAGCAAACAAACGTAGCAATTCAAATCGACGTATCTGCTTTTGTAAACAATCACTTCAATCGACGATTTGTGGCAACTGCTAGCTCACTCACGCAAACAAACACCATCATGAGGTAGGGTAATCTTCCATAAAACAAACACTTTGAACAATTGAAACAAATACCATGATCGAATGATTACCGAAATGATAGAGCTATTCCACAAATGGTTTGGACGATACCCAGAACATGTCGTTAAGTAAAATAGCTATACAAATTGTATCAGGGTTTCCTACTATCTGGTGTTGTTAGTTTCTGTGAGTGAGCTAGCAGTTGCCACAAATCGTCGATTGAAGTGATTGTTTACAAAATCAGATATGTCGAGTTTTCTGAGATCTCAGTAAAACTTTTTTGCCGAGATTTGCACAGCCGAGCTCGGTAGAAAAAAAACTAAGTGTGTAGGTAAAAGTGAACTGGCCGTTGGGTACTTTTTCTTAACGTGTACGCTAAGTTACCTACTCATTTTACTCCAGGCTGGAAACCTCGGTCCGGTCACGACAAAGCTGTCCAGTGTTCAGTATGGTGTGACCGCATTTCAGCATACCTCACTTCACTTCAGCCACAACCCCTTGATTTGTTTTCCGTACTGAGTACCAATGCTACCGACGCCAAGGAGGCAGCTCCCACACCTGGACCATACCTATCGACCCATCAACTTATAGGTCGGGGACCAACGTAGCCACAACCAAGCTTGCAAATGCTCATTACAGCTAAAATGCTATTTTTCGGATTTATGAAGCTATGAAATATTATAATGATAATTCTTATGGACAAGATGCAAGAAGAGAAGGTAAAGTATTTATAAGATACATAAAACTTGTTAATTTAGCTTTCAGAGGACCACAATAGTGATTAGCTGTAACGATGATCAACGCGATGAGCGAGCAATTAGAGATCATAAAATCGTTAGTTGTGACCTTCTGAAAGCAAAATTGATAAATTGTGTTTGTCATACACAAACTTTACCACCCATGCTTGCTTCTTGCAAATAAAAATTATCATTAAAGTATCTCATAGTTCCATAATTCCGAAAAATAGGATTTTACCTGTAATGAGCAATTGCAAGCCTGGCCACAACCCCCTTAAATGAGTCTTCTGACAGCCGTGTACAAAATATGTTACAGTACAGTCAACTTTCGCTCCAACGTTGGGAAGGGAGGGTTTGTGGTATCAGGTAAATGGGACGATCAACCCAATTCGTGCCTTCCTCAAAATTGTCCTTTGCTCGCTTTCTACTCTCTATATACAATTTTCACATTGTTGTACTCTAACTCTTCCTATCAACTCGATACCTTATCTCCTCATCCATCGTATAAAATGACCACTTTAAGTCTGACGTTAAGCATATCCAACTTTGAATCCTGATGAATGTGGGCGTCTTAGTGAAATACCTGTATAAAGAGAGAGAGAGAGAAGGATTAGTAATTTCCATTTAATTCCACTACGTTATTTGCTTATCATGACCGAGGGGAGCGACACATCTAAATCTCAATTTTAGATTCTCAACAAATCGCACACTAGCGAATCAATCTTCGAAAAATCTTCTTTCATTTATTGCATCTACTTGCATCTAGGGTTACCATATCAAAAACTTGAAAAGGAGAACATATCATTTGAGGTTTGAAAATATAGGAGGACAATGTTTCCTTTTCTTAACATCGAAGGAGGGCAATGAGTTTTTATCAAAGGTTTTAATAATATGTGCGCAATCACAAAATTCATGATTTTCAAAGGTTCAATTGATATTCATTACTTATAGTTGTTATCAATTCAATTAATCATCTCGTTATACTTCTGAAAAATGCATCAACCTAGCCTTCATAATCCATTTTTGATATTTGGAATTGATCTAATCTAGCTGTTTTGTATGAAACCTACTGCTTTACAGTCTTAACACCATACCACCTTTTATTATGAACAAAAATCAGGATACATGTCATCGCTGATTGAAACCAACACGAAAAAGAAACATCAAAGCTACCCTAGGGGTATCCCACTCTAAACTTTGTATTTTCCCTCATATACAAATAAAGTTCTAAGTGATATCTAAGATACCTGAAAATACCTAAAAATACTTAAGAAATATCTAGCGTTAGTTTATTTGCTTGGTTGCTATACCGATTTAATTTGTTTGTTTATCCTATGTCAGAAGGTTTGTGTGGATATTGGCGAATTTATTATGGAATTAGCATTAATTTTATTGAGAGAGTGAGCAGAGCAGCTGTATGTCACGAACCGTTTCCGGTGTAATCTGTTCGATTGGAACCAGAAAGAGTTCATTTTGATCTGAAAGACATGGGGACCTTTTGTTGGTTGCTCATTCGGTTTGATTTCTATCATTTTTTTTTTCCTTTGCTTTGTTTTTTCCGTCGATCTTGTTTTCCGTGCTGAGCACCAATGCTACCGACGCGCCAGGAAGGCAGCTCCCACACCTGGACCCTACCTATCGACCCATCAACTCATGAACCGGGGACCAACGGCTTTACTTCCCATCCGAAGGAAGGCGTGATCAGAGATGTTATGCCTCAGAACATCCCGGCGGCGCCGACCTAATTTCTATCATTTATATTCCTTATATCCATGTGAGTATTGTGTTATAATAGGGGATATATTTGTACTTTCCGTCCGCTAGGTTCTTGCCCGTCAAACGATAACTACGGGGAGTAGCCTAAGCAAAATCGGAAGTGGTAAAACCTTTCACACCATACTATGGTGCGGACCCGGATCTCGTAGCTTCTCACCTTTTAAATGTAGAACATGTTTATTCCAGAAGATAAAAAATCTTCAAGGCTGGATACCATCGAAGCAAGATATCTTCTTAGAACCAAAGGTGGAGCGTGTTTGAAACATTTTTAGTTTTCAGCACAGCTCTCTTTTTAACTTTCCAGGAGGATATGGTTTATATCCTATATCGATTTTGAACTCTATACTCTCGTTGCATGATCTGGTGATTAACTAATAGTTGGAGTATAATGGTCCAACGATAACATGAAACAATTATGGGAATGATTAAAATAGTCGAATTTTACTTTAAGGATTTCCTATGTAGAATAGAAACAAGCAATATAATGTTTAATTGTAATAGGTATTAGAATTTTAATAGAACATATTCGTTAATTGAGAAACTCGATAGTTGATAAACTTTATTTTTGCTTTCGATCAGACGTTTTGACCCTCCTGACCCATTCCTCCACTACCCATTCGCTTGGTCATCTTGGTTTCTTTAGGAATATTATGTGACATGATTTTTTCGGCATCTTGAGCTTGCTTTTAGTTCCTCAACTATACTGCAAAAAAAAACTACTTAGTCAGATGATTTGCTGCTAGGAAGGTAGGGGTAGTATCCATTTGTGGAAATAAATATTCCTCAGTAGGATCTTTGTCCGCCGAAGGGGTTTATGTAAGCCAATGAACAATCTGTGTTCTCTCGATCATTAGACACCTCATAATTTATACTCGGGTGCATCTCATGCCAACGATTGAAAATCATCGTTTTTTGTAGCTACGTCGATCTTGACCTTTGCATTTTAACATTTTGAATGGTTGAAAAATAGAAATTAGTAATACAATTTCATAGACATAATACTAATATCCACCCATTAACAAGAGTTTTCATATGAATTTGAATAAATACACGACGAACGACTCGAAATAACAAAAAAAATCAACAACAAACCTCTACACTAGCAACACGTCATAAAAACAAGTGTTACTACGATGAAAAAATAATCTTAGTTAAAAATACTTAAAAATACTTACTATACTTACGAGGAATTTAAA